CCAAAAAAAAGAAAACAAAGGCCCCTTCTCAGTTTAGGCCCCTCGGTCGGAGGTCTTAGGCCCGAAGCCTGAGACTGCTCCTAAAGGTTGAAGGGCTTGTCCGTGCTCAACTTCGCAGTTGCGAGCGCGATCGTCATGAGCCTTACCTCTCAAGTTGAGCTTTGGGGGAAAAAGGGGTTGAGGGCCTAAGCCCTAAACCCTAAACCCTAAACCCGGGATTTAGGGAGGAGCTTTGTGGGTTCGCGGATGACGCAATGCTTGGCTTAGGGCCAGACAGGCTCGCCGAAACCAGAAAATCTCGAGCCTGGACAGGGCTCTGCCCACCTAGGGCGGCGGTGGCACACTCATATAAACCCTAAACCCTAAACCAAAAACCCTAAACCCTAAACCCTAATTGTTTGAGGGGATCCTGATCCGACCGGACTAGTATGGGAAGGAGCTGTTCTTACTGGCTTACTGGGGAGTGGCTCGCCATTGAGGATTGTGGCATACATCCAGTCACACCTTCTGATCGGTTTGGACAAGCGCCCTGGCCTGGATTCTCAGCCACCGATCTTAAAACGAGGACATCCGAAGAACAAACCCCTAAGACCCGAAACTCCGAAACCCTAAACCCCTTATCCCCAAAGCCTCTAAGCCCTAAGCCCCTAAGTACCTAAACCCCTGAACCCTAAAGCCCTAGAAGCCCTAAAGCCCCAAAGCCTAAGCCCAGTGTACAACCTTGCAGCCCGAAGCCCCTTGGATCGACTGTGGAGGCGCCCCAAACTTTGGGCTTCAGGTTTTGGGTTTTAGGGTTGAGGGTTCAGGGTTTCAGGGTTCAGGGTTTTGGCTTTTAGGGTTCAGGGTTTTGGCTTAGGGTTTAGGGTTTGAGGGTTCAGGATTTAGGGTTCAGGGTTTTGGGTTTAGGGTTTTGGGTTTACGGTTTAGGGTTTAGGGTTACAGGAGTCTTCTCAGCTTGAAGTCCTTCGTCGTTTCGCAGGCAGCCTCCAGCCCTTTACCCCCTCTATGGGTAGTTCTTTAAATTAGGATCCCTTTTGTAGGTCCCCAACTTGGTACGGCACCCTTATGAAAGAGGACCCTAAACGGAGAACTCATATACTCTGCAAGGAGAACGTCTACTTCCCCCAAAAAATAATACTGGACAAGTAGAAGTGAAAAGTTCAAAGCCGAGCCGAAGCCGAAATCCGAAGCGGTTCCAATACTCATTGGTGTAATATAGGGATTTAGGGTTTAGGGTTTGGGGTTTAGGGTTTAGGGTTTAGGGTTTAGGGTAATATAGGGGTCGCAATAGCTACTCATCTTATTATGCATGGCGTTCCTCCTTGGTTTCGTGGCCCCCGAACTTCTGCGTGCCTCGGAAGCAAATCCCCGCATTCCCAATACAATGGGGCGAAACCGAATCGCGGGAAGTTGGAGCCCGAAGTGCAACAACCATGTGGGTGGTTGTCAAAATTAGGGTCCCTTTCCACCCAATGTACATCCCCTAGCCTCTCCCTGAACTCTGAACCTTGCCCTTACCTGCCAGAAGTCTCGACTGCTGGTGCTGTGAGATCTGGAGCTTCGGCACATCAGTAATATAGGGATCTCAAGAGTTACCTATTTTATTTTGGGGGGTCCTTATTGTAAATATACTATCAGGGACTCCAAAACCCTATTCTAATTATTAAGGCGCCTACAGTAAGCGAGTGTTGGGGGTTTCTTAAGGCAGACGAGCTATTTCTTCGTCTGTGGAGTCGCTCTTTGACCCTTCGCGATGGAAGCTAATTCCGTCGCTGGGGTTCCTTCAGCCTCAACCCCTTGTCAAAGGGTGAAGCTGCGAGAGTGTAGGATTGATGACACACTGATGATCATGGATCGATAATGATCTCATCGTTTATTCTTGGCATCTTCATGGGTGCCGCTTCAATTCCTGTTCTTCCTTGTTGCTGGTGGTAGCACCAATGCTGTCACACGAGGCTGGAGGTCAGAGGTTTGCAGCAAGAAGTTACACCATCGGTCTGTTTGAGCCTTTGAAGTTTCCATCTGCTTGATCCTGAATCGGAAATCTCCACAAGCAGCACAGAAGAGAATACTGAATTCTTATACACCACCGAAATTGTCAGAGATTAGGATCCTGAAAATAAGGGGACCCTCAATGTACCCCAGGCCCTAAACCTGAACATTAAGCTTAATCATGAAACCGTGAACCCGAAGCCCAAACATCCCAAACCCTAAACCCTGAACCCTTGAAGCACAACCCTCAACCCTAGGAACAACCAAGACTTCGAGTTGGGCGTGCAGAGCTGGAATGCCATGCAGGCTCCTGTGCTTCGATTCCGTACGCTCGCGAGCCTTCTAGTGTAGGGGCCGAAATCATTACCAACACTAGTTTGGGGTTGCTTATTATCATCATAGTAGAATATACTCCCCGAGCCCAAAACCCTATTCTTATTATGAAGGCCTCTACATTGGTTCGAGGGTTCAGGGCTTTGGGTTGAGGCTTACCGTGGGTTCTCCCATGAGAGCTTGAATCCTTCAGCTGAAGCCCGTCGCCCGAACGCCGCACGATTTGCTTGCATTGCGAAGCGTCGTGGCAGCATGAAGAGAAAGTTCCCTAAACCCTAAACCCTAAACCCTAATTTTGTGCATGAGCATGGACGGACGAAGACATGGATGGGTGGGACTTGACGAAGC